CGAGCTGCCACATAATATCGACGAGGGACGTATTTTGTCCAAGGAGTGACGTCCGAAATGGAGTGTATGCGCGATAGTTTGGGGAACGACATGGGAGGGATACGCTGAGCGAATGAAACTCGCTGAAGAAGCAGCCAAACACCGACACTCCACGCCCTGTTCGGCACCGAGGTCGCCGCAATCCCCGACTACCTCGTGTGATTTCAAGCGACTCGGTTGGAACTGATTCTGAGGCCATATCAGTTTGTGTGGAATCCTCGGGCACGTCGCGTGTGTGCGATATCGAGGTTGCATGCCCTCCACGTGACGCAGCCAAGATCACGCAGTTGCCTGATCTCCCATGGAAACATTTCTTGAGCGACCTGAAGAAGGGCGGCATCGAGCAAGTGTGCATGATCGTGCGTGAAGGCACTGCGTGTGCCGCAGCGGTCGAAGTCGACGCCGATGACTCAGCGTCCGTCACCAGGACTCTACCGAAAGGGGTCGAGCCGAAGTGCGCCCGTGAGGCGCGCTACGCTGCGTAATCATTGCCGGCACTCGAGGCCTCCCGCAACCCCGTCGCTCCTCTCGTCCGGGAGTACATTGACATCTTCCTGGACAAGGTCCCAGCCGTCCTCCCCCCTGATTGTGGGGTCCAGCACAAGATCGATCTCGTGCCCGGTGCGAAGTACTGTGTGACGCGGCAGTGGCCGCTTCCCCGAGATCAAGTAGAGGCAATTGATCCTTTCTTCAAGAGTCGCCGGTAAGCCGGTCACGCACGCGAAAGTCTCTTTCCACATTCCAGTCCGACCTTCTGTGTGAAGAAGGCCGCCGGCGGATGGCGGATCGTCCATGCCTTCAACAAGCTGAACGATGCCACTATTCTAGCCGAAACGCCAATTCCATGGAAAAACATGGTGCCCGAAACCATGTCTGGCAGCACCAAGTACAGTGTCATAGATCTGATGGACGGGTTCTATCAGATCCTCATGCGCGAACAAGACGTGCCGTTGACCACTGTCAGCGCGCCGGGCAGGATGCTATGGGAATGGTTGGTGTAAGGAGTTACACGAACCTCTAACCGTAACGCTAATCGGTTAGAGTTAAAGGTTTCCTGTCTTGGTGGGTTCACACACCAAGACTGCATTTGAAAGGATCCTACTGGTAGAGTGCGCCACACCTCTACCAATCAGCGATGCTAATCACTGTCAGCCACCTGCTGACAGTCCTTTAGATATTTGATAAATAGTTTAGAGAGGAAACCTCCGTAAAACACAATACAGTTCTCATTTTACGCGATTTAGCTCCTAGGTTGTATAGCGTACACACGATGCGTGTGTACGGTAAGACAAGATAGGAACACCTACGCTTCCTCCTACACGTGCGCACACGTGTAAGCTAACTAGTGAGCCCTAGGCCCACTACAGTTGGTATGGCACAGGGGCTTAAGAACTCCCCGGTCACTTTCAACAGAATGGTGCCAAACCTGTTACGCCCATACCGAGAGTTTGCGCCCAGCTATTTCCACGATATCTTCATCCACAGTCGTGCCGAGGACGACATGACCGACGTCGAGGTACATCTGGATCACCTACACCAAGTGTTCGAGGTGATGAGGGAGAACATGTTGTACGCCAACTTGAAGAAGTGTATCTTCTGTGCTCCCGAGATTCCCGTACTCGGGAGCTATGTCAGCAAGGAAGGTGTCCGTGCCGACCAGGAGAACGTTGAGGCCATTTGTGCATGGCCTCCTCCAAAAGGTCAGAAGCAACTTCGCCAATGGATAGGCCTGGCGACGTACCTCCACCATTACCCGAAGAACTTCGCGGCGACGCTGCGACCATAGTCGCAGTTGCTGAAGGCAGACGCGACGTGGTCATTTCGTTCTGAACATGAAGCCGCTTTTGTCGCGGTGGAAACGAGCTTATTCACCGCGCCCGTGTTGATGCTGGTCGGCCACACAAAGCCATTCCACGTCGTGTGCGACGCGAGCGACTTTGCAATTGACTGCGCGTTAATGCAGTTTGACGACGAGGGACGCGAACGAGTTGTGAGTTACCAGTCGCGTCAACTGAAGCCAGCGGAGCGCAGCTACCCCGTTCACGAAAAGGATCTGCTGGCCATGCGTTACGCGCTCATCAAGTTCCGCGTGTATCTGTTGGGTGAACAGGCGTTTGCTGTCTACACAGATCATGCGTCGCTGAGGACAGCGACGAGGAGCCCACATCTGTCCCAGCGCATGGCGCGCTGGTTCCCATTATTCGCTGAATACAATTTTGTCGTGCACTACAAGCCGGACAAATTAACATCCTCGCCGACACGCTATCGCGTCGACCAGACTACGTGCAGTCGGGTCGCCATGCAATTGGTGACGAAGATGACGATGAATGCGCTGCGTGTGTCTCAATAGGCGTTGCTGCTGTTGAGGTCACAGTGACAAGTTCGCTCCGCGAGTCCTTTGCGTCCACGCACGAGGCAGATGCGTCATGCTCCGATATGATCAAGTACCTGCGAGATCCTTCAGACACGGCGCGTCACCGGTTGTCCCCACGCAGTCGCGCTCGCATCGACCGCTACGCCCTGGACGGCAGCCTGTTGACCTACTGCGTTGATCGCGCGGATTCCCCACGCGTCATCTTTCCGCTGGACGAGGACCTTCGCGCACGCCTGATTCACAAGTTTCATGATACCCCGAGCGGTGGACATCTCGGACGCGAGAAAACCTTCGCGTCGTTGTCCCGTGATTTCTATTGGCCAAGTGGGTCCGGAAGTGGGGGCGCTCGTGTGAAGCGTGCCAGCGTGTGAAGCCGAATCCGTCGAAACAAGCTCCGCTTCGGTCACTTCCAGTCTCTCCAAATCCATGGTCAACGGTGAACATGGACTTCGTTTTTGGGCTGCCTTGAGATACTCAAGACCGCACAGGAGCTCTCGTCTTCGTGGATCGCTTCAGTAAGATGGTACATGTGACGAAGTGGGTGAACACTTGACCGCCCAAAGGTGTATAG